CCACCCCCCCAGGCCGCAGCGCCGCTTCCTGTTTTCACCCCGGGCGGTGGGGGGCGTGGGTGGAGCCGCAGAGGGAAGGAGGGGCGCCCTCAGCTGAGGGGCACCCGTGAGCTTTCACCCCCAGAGCGTCCTCTGGTCTGAACTGAATGTCGGCGGGGGCCCGGCCGGCCAGAGGCGCGGCGCCTGGACCAAGCCCGGGGTCCGAGCTGGACTGTCGCCCGGGCACCGCGCAGAGCGGCGCCTGGACGCAGGTCCGATCCCGCCCCATCTCTGCCCCCACCTGCCCCGTAGCCTCACTGCGGCCCACACCTGCCCCTCTGTCTGCCTCCATCACCAGGACGGCGCCACCGTCCACCCAGACACGGGGCTGAGCCCCGTCCTTTCTCACGGCGTCTTCCAAGCGCCCGTCCCCAAGGCCTGGCCCTTTTCAAACCCATCCGCTTCTCTCCATCCCCAAGGCGCTACGTCAGGCTACCTCCTCTGGCCGCTGGGCCAGGTGACAGTCCCCCACCGTGTCTCCAGCCCCCCAGGCCCTCTAAAAACAGCCCTCTCAGAGTTCCCCCTCCTTCGCCCGTGACAGCTCCCAGGTCCCTCTAGGCCTCTGCTGTCCTTTGTCCCCCCAGCAGCCCCCAGAGACCTCTCTCTGCTGCCCACCTGACAGCTGTCTTCCCTACTTAAATGGTCATCCTCTGCCACTTGGCACACCATGCAGTGGGTTCAAGCTCCCCCCATCAGCTCCCATCAAGGTCGAGGGGGACAGTGCAGGTGCATGAGTGACCCAGCTCACCAGAGCCATNGCTCCCGCCATCAGCTCCCATCAAGGTCGAGGGGGACAGTGCAGGTGCATGAGTGACCCAGCTCACCAGAGCCATTCATTCCATGCACATGCACAGAGGGCTCCACATCCCCACGCTGGGGACAGTGTGACAGACAAGCAGCACCGTCCCATTGTCTTGGAGGGCATGCTCCAAAGGACATTCCCACCAGGCCCTCTGCATCTGGGGGATGGCCCGGCTCAGTTCGGGTTGGGGCATGGGGCACAAGTGGGCGTCGTCCGCGGTGGGAGCAAGGGTGTCAGGCGTGGGGTGAGAAGGCGGCCCATCCAGGAGCGGGCCGTTGGCATTGGGCATTCCCTAACTGACAGCAGGCTGGCGCTAAGGGCCAGGGGACATTGGGACTCACATTGCCTGCATTCAAATCCTGCCCCTGCCGTGTAAGAGCTGTGTGACCTTGGGTAAGTTACTTAACCTCTCTGTGCTTCATGTTCTTCACCCATAAGGCAGCATGGATAACAAAAGCATCTACCTTATAGGGTGATTATGACTATCAAATGCGTTTCTGCACCTAAGGTGCTAAGAAGTGTGCGTAGCACATGTCGCTACTAAATTAAACTGTACAACAAAATTGCCACTGTCTGACCACAGTTTTATCATGTTACCGAATGTGTCTTTCTCTTTCTTTTCTCCCTCCCTCTCCCACTCCCTCCCCTCTTCCTGCCCAGTCCCTCTGGTTCAAACCCTGACTCCACCGCTTACCTCCTTTAGCAGTTTGGGGACGCGGGTTGGCATCTCTGACCCTCAGTTCGCTCACCTGAGACAGGGAGATAATAATAGTACGGACTTTACCGGGTGTGGGCGCCCCAGATGAGGCCATGCATGTAGCGTGATTATCTGGGTGGGAGCCTGCCTTTGGGTCATGAAAATAGAAGCTGGGGGTGGCTCTGCTTTCAGAAGAAAGTGTGCTTCCAGGTTCAACTTCTCACCGCAGCTTGGGGCCTCTGTGGCCTTTCCAGTTGGCCCCAACGGACCAGAAGGACAGCGACAGGTGAGTGTGAATGTGCGATGCTTGTGACTGAGCACGTGTGTCTGCCTGTGTGTGAGTGCCTCTGAGTGTGTGCCTGTGTGAGTGTGTGAATGTGTGTGCACATGTGTGAGTCCATGTGTGTGTCAGGTGGTGGTGGGAAGTGGACATTGGTTTACTAGAAGAAACCAGCTCTGGGCTGTCTTGAGAAATAACCGAGGGGAGATCTGTATGCAAAGAGGGCAGTGGGCAGTGGGTGATGGGTGTCACGGACAGAACCTCCAGGTGTGCAGGGACCTGGTTGGGCAAAGTGAAAGCCAGCCAAAAAAATGAGCTTGGCCTGTATAGTGGGGGCTGATGATGGAGGGCCCTGGGGAGCTATGGAAGGTTGTAAGCAGAGGCAAGAGCTCTCATGTTAGAAAAATGGCCTGGCTTCTATACCCTGCCACCTTGACACTTACCAGCAAACACCCACCAGGAGGCCATGTCCCCAGGCGGCTGAGCAAACAAGCTCCAAGGTCACAGGTCCTGGGTTCAAGCACTGGGAAGTGGGTAACTTATTACCCTCTCAGTACCTCAGTTTGCCCAGCACCCCACCAGTAGGCTTACTGAACACCTACTGCACGCCAGCATCTCACACAGTCGACTGTACTTCACACAGTGGAGTCAGCAGTGTCACTCACCCCCAGTTTACAGAGAAGCAAACTGAATCACTCATCCAGGGCAAAGCCAGGACTCAGCCCCAGGTCTGGCGGGCTTGGGCTCAGGCATGTCCAGCCACAGAATGGTGACATTCTGGCCTCCGCCAGGATGGCCAAATACTTGGTTTGAGCTGCCAGTAATCAGAGCCTGGCAGCCCCACATCTTCATTTCCCCAAGGCTCAGAGAAGGGAAGCCCCTTGCCTGTAGTCACACAGCAAGAGGGGCAGCCAATGATCGCCAGGCTTGTCTGACCCAAAGTCCACATTCTTCAGCACATAGTAGGTGCTTTAAAGTCAGTGGCTTCATCCTGGCCAGTGTTGCTCAGTGGTTAGTGTCTGCCTGCACACAAAAGTGTTTCGGGTTCAATTCCTGGCCAAGGGCACGTACCTGGGTTGCAGGTTCAATCCCAGGTCCCAGTCAGGGTGCGTGTGGGAGGCAACCAATTGATGTCTCTCTCCTCCTGATGTTTCTCTCCCTCTCTCCCTTCCACTCTCTAAAAATCAATGGAAAATCCTCCAGCGAGGATTAACAAAAATAAATAAAGTCAAGCGACTTTAAAGATGTCTTGGAAAGGTTAGCAGAAGAGGTAGCTGAGGCCTGGGGACGGGGCCTCTGCATTTCCCAGCAGCCCTGGCACAGAGTAAATACCTGATAAAGGTTTAGTATCTGAAGACCCACTGTGTTCAGCACGGTGCCGAAAGCTTCACACACATTTGATCCTACCACGGCCTCATGAGTTGGATGCTATCATCGATCCCATTTTAGTGAGGAAAAAACTGAGGCTCAGAAAGGTTGAGTCCCCAGCCAAGGCTGCACAGGGAGCAAGACTTACAAGAGCCAAGGATATTTGGGGGCTTCCTATGTGCCAGGCCTTGTTCGAAGCACATTACACATTCATGGAGAAGAGACCACTACCCTATAGTACAGGTATTAATATAGTCATTTTATAAATGAGGAAATTGGTTTCGAGGTTCAGCCACTTGCCAAGATCACATGGGTGCACGTTTATTGAGCATCTGCCATGAACCTCACATGTGATGGACTCTGGGGCCCTCACCTCTGGTCTTAAGCCTGCAGCCCTTCACACCAGCTGCACCTCCCAGTTGTGAACTAAACAAAATCAGTTCAAGCTCACGGAGCTTCTCAACCCTCAGATGCTGTCCTGAGCCAAGAACTAGAGCCTGAATCTAACCCTAAGCCTTGTTAGAACTCAGATCCCAGCCCAGGCTGTGCCTGTGTCCATCCAGTGGACTACCTCGACAGGTGGTGAGCACCCCATCGCCGGGAGGATCCAATCAGGGCTGCCATGGAAGACGGTTTATACTCAGGTGAGAGGACTCTCTGGAGCTGACATTGCCAAAAGCAAGGGCCCTGACCTCCTACCTTCCATCCAGGAGAAGAGAAGGGTTCCTGCGTCTCTCTTTGGGAAGGAGAGTGAATTTCTAGGAAAGGCCCACTATGGGGGGGCCTTCATGGCACAGAGCCACACAGACAGGGAAGCCGAGGGCACCTCCCTTCTCTGACTCAACAGCAAAACAGTTCCAGCTGGGGCCCTGGAAGCCCAGTAGACTGGAAGACGGGGACCCAGAGCAAGTGGGGCTCAGTGTGATGAGTCCTCACGGCCAGGAGGGGAGTGGGCCTGGGCCTGCAGCGGAGCATCAAGGTAGAGCTTTGGGAGGGGCAGGAGCTGGGGCGAGGCCCGGGGGTGCCGGTATCCGGGGAAGGGGCTGGGGGAAGCTCAGATATGGGGAAGAACTGAGACCCCACGTGCTGTGTTTAGGGAATGGGCCACGGTGGGAGGCACCAGGGTAAGGGCTGGGGTCACAGGGGAAGGAAGCCCCGGGCCCCAGCATAGTGGTGGGGGGCAGCTGAACCTATAAAAGGGAAGAGAGGCAGAGGCAGAGGTGGGTGGGGTCAGCCATCAGAGAGGAGCATGTGGAAGCAGGGTCTCGGCTCCTGGCCCCTGGCCCCTGGCATGTCTCTCTGGACAGTGACCTGGGCCTGAGTCTGGCTTGCTGACAGCTGGAGTTAGGGCAGGAGTGGCAGACTTTGGTCTGGATATGCAGAGGGACAGACTCAGAGCTGCACAGACAGACATGAGGTATAGAGTGAGGGGAAGGTGCACAGAGAAGGCGG